TTGGCGTCTCCAAATGGCACACTTGGACTACACCTGATATACAAACTTCAAATGACTGAAACTCCTCAGTGCTTCAACATACAACGAGGCTCTAATGAAAGATAATGACCGGAGGAATCCTCTGGTAGACACAACATTACTGATGGTGGAAATTACTTATAATTATATAAATGAAATGGTGTATCGGGGGTGGGGGGCGTGTTGGCGTACAGTCAGACCTCCTCCCCCTTCTTGCAATATGCTGACCGCTCTGACTGTAGCAGTGGACAACTAGAAGTTTCCAGTATTCTCAAATCCAAAACTTGTCAGCACTCTTATGGTCATAGTCATCCACTCCCATGAGTTGTGAAGTTCTGCTGAAGAAATACATCCAGTTTTGACACATTCTGACCACATGTCTCTCCGTTTGTGAGAAAAAGTCCTGTAAACACCATTATGCATGAGGGCGCACAGAGCCTGACTGTGATGCAGCACCGGCGCACACATTGCGCATGGTTACGCATCCAGCTGGTGGATTCAAGTCAAAACAAACCTCAAAATGCCTTATATCCTTATGACAGGACAGGTGTTGGCTACACATCAGTGGCTTTAGATTTAGTTTCCCAGTTGACCAGTGAGAAATGTTCTAGAAAGAATACAGGCATGTCAAAATGAGCTCAAGTTGCTCTCTGGATATTATTGGCTCAGAAAAAGCCGTTTCATAAAAGCGTCATAATGGACACAGGCAGAGTTTAAACCCGTAAATCTCAGCCCCAGAAAGTACAATGGAAAAACGGCATGCGGGTGTTCCGGTGCGGGTTAATTTAACTTATTTTATTTTGTTATCAATATTAATTAATTTAAGTAAGGATTTATTTTATTTTTCACTAATTTTAGTACCTTATTCGAGCCTCTGAAACCAATTGTGATTTGTAAACAGCAGAAGTTGTGATATTTAGTTTGTTGTAATGTTTGTTTTTGACATGTTGTTTGAGGTTGTTGTTGTTCAATAATAATAATAATAAAAAAACAAAAAAACAGCTAGCTGAAGGCTAGACCTGTCAAGAAGGACCTCGCTGCAGCAAACAGGAAGGGGCGGGACGGACCGCTGGCAGTCTGACCTTATTTGGAAATGGGACCATTGCACTCCGGAAGTGAAGGGGGCGCTATTTCCTATATTATCTGCGTTCTCCCGTTTTTATTTTCTTTTGAAATCTGTGATATATCTTCATCTTTAGGAAGGAGTTTCACTCTCAGCATGTATTTGAACTTCTCTCTTTTATTTACTTCATGGCCGCTCACCGTTTTTAAATTCTGTAGCTTTCTGTGTACTTCTAAATCTGCTCCTTAGTCGCATCTTTTCGGGTCTACTACTGCCTCTAGTGGCGTGGGGTGGTAACACAACTAATATAATTACGTTACTAAATGAGTCTTTATTATTTACTGTTAATTGTGGCATTATTGGCACCATAAATGATAAATTCTCTAATAAGACACCATGCTGTTTTATTTTCTTAACGATGTAGAGCTAATTAAATGACATAAACAAGATCTTTATACATTATGAATAATATTTATACATCTCCATCATTTATAGGAAGAATAAAAGAAAACCATCTGTATATATATTTATGCCAATAGTGATTTTTCTGTCCGAGAACAGTCATCTGTGCTTACTGTATTTTCCGCACTATAAGGCGCATGCTAAAACATACGGTCAACAAAAAAAAAGGTAACGGAAACCAAACAGTAAGTTTAGTTGAACTTTATTCGACTATGTAACAATACACTCACGGTATTTCTTATTCTAATTCCACAAATCCATCAAAGTCCTCTTCTTATCTGAATTGAACTGCATGTTTCGCCATCAAACATGCCAGGTTCCCTCTCATCATCATCGGAGTCGGACTCGTTTCCAGGTGGCTGTTCAGCAGCGATGCAGCTTTAGTGAAGCTCAGACAGTTAAGGCCGATGCATCAGCCCAGGCATCCACCATCCATCCACACATGGAGGCGTAACTCGCCCGGCGCCGCCTCCCGTCTCAGTAAACTGTGTTCAGTCTGTCGTCCATCGCTCCCACGCCGCTCCCAACTTCTGTTTGAACGGCCTGTTTACACCGATGTCCAGCGGTGGGAGTTCTTTTGTTAATCCTCCCGGAACGACGGCAAACTCCGAATCAGTTTGCTTCGCTTCCTTTTCCACAGTAGCAGTGAGACGGGCGCGCATGGAGTCGCAGATGAACAGGGACGGTGATGCGTGGAAAAACCGATCTGGTTTTTACCGAGGCTATGCTGCAGAACTCGGACAACAATCCCTGATTGGTTTATCGCTGCTGCCGTCCGAACTGTACACTTTACTTCTCTGTGTCAGGGACAGATTTTGGAATTCAGTGCACATATAAGGCGCAACGGATTATAAGGCGCACTGCTGATTTTTGAGAAAATTTAAGGCTTTTTAGGTGCCTTATAGTCCGGAAAATACCGGTAATTATTTTTTCAATAAATAAAGAATAATGTGTAAAGTTAATCATATTAGAGAAAGGGGGAGGGATCAAATAAGTTTCTACTTTTGCTTACCACCTTTTCAATCAGTTGTCTCAATATATGTCATGGTATTTGAATTGTGAATATGAATGAAATAAATAAACTACACTATGCATATAAATTAGATTTTTAGAGGAGTTGTCTGCATTGATTAACCTGAAGCTGCTGCTGACAGGACGGCCAGATGGACTGGACTCTCCTCAGGAAAAGCTTCCAGACTGAAGTGGAGAACCTGTCGAAGTGAGTTCCTCTGTCCACCTTCAGAGTGAAACGGAGCGTACTTCTCAGACATCAACACTCGTGTTGCTTTCAGGTTCAGACATCCCAACATCGTAGACCTGCTGGGCTTCAGTGAAGGAGAGGGAGGACTGATGTGTCTGATCTACAGCTACATGCAGAACCGCTCCCTGGAGGACCAGCTGCAGAACGTAACTCGCTGCCTCCATGTTGCCCTCAGTGTGGATGTAGGGCGACTGTGCCTTTATGGTGATGTGGACAAAAACAGCATGTTTTGATTGGTGACTGTGAGAGTAGTAGTGAGCTGTCAGCATGCTCTCTGTTGTGGTAGCAACGGTTTGTCTACTCCAGGTGTGTTTCCGTCTGTTCCAGTCATATGCTTGTATCTTCCAGGCGCTGGGTCTCTCGTGGCCTGACCGGATCAGCATCATTGAAGGCGCGGCAGCAGCTCTTCAGTTCCTGCACCACCCGCCGTTGCGTCAAGAGCCGCTGATCCATGGAGACGTCAAGAGGTCAGGAAATCTGTTCCTGTTGAACAGTTTGGCAACATCAACATGTAGAGCAGCTCATTAACATGTTCTGATCTGACGACAGAACCGTCCGGCTGCTCTGTATCTGCTGGTTTTATCCAACTGATGTCCTAGTCAAAGGTTTCTGGTTGCTTTGACTGGTCCTTCTGGTAAAAGAAAGACACTATCACAGACAGTCTCACTGTTGCTAAGCATAAAGACAACTATGGATCCGATTCCTGCTCCTTGCCACGCCTCTGAGGACTGGTCATGAAGTGACACTGAGGCAGGAGGGGAGAAACGCTGCCACCTGCAGGAGGGGAGAAACGCTGCCACCTGCAGGAGGGGAGAAAGGCTGCCACCTGCAGGAGGGGAGAAACGCTGCCACCTGCAGGAGGGACTGGAATGGACTGGTTCTCCCCAGAAATAGTCCATTCAGTCTATTCAGAACCAGAACCAGTATATTATCTGAGGCCAGGGGAACATCACCAGAGCTTCTTCAATGCTGGGATGAGCTCTGAAACCAGAATGAAGCTCTTATTTCTGTCTATGTCTCTGCAGTTCCAACATCCTGCTGGACCAGCATTTGGTACCAAAGCTTTCAGACTTCGGTCTGGCCCGGTACGTACCGCAGAACGCGGCCGGCTGCTCGACGCAGACGGCTTCTGTCGGCAAAACCACGACAGTCAGAGGAACGCTGGCCTATCTGCCCGACGAGTACGTGAGGAGAGGAGAGCTGTGCACGGCGGTGGACGTCTACAGCTTTGGAGTGGTGAGACGCCCAGGGGCTGATGGGAAATGCAGTCTGTCGCGTTCTGTCTTACCACAGATGTCTCAACCGAGCCTGAAAGTGTCCTGTGTGTTTCAGGTGCTGCTTGAGGTTCTGACGGGCCGCCGAGCTCTGGAGCAGGACGGGAGGTCTGGAGACCGATACCTGGTGAGAGCATTCACCTGGGGTCATGTTGACCTGTTGGTATGTTGACCTGTTGACCTGTTGACATGTTGACATGTTGGTATGTTGNACCCAGATTTTTCATTTGTATTTCTTGTAAATGCACATTGAGTGTTGAATGTATGGACTGGAAAATACAATAAATCTGTAGAATCAAGTATTCTGCTCGTGGATTTCAAGATTGATCAAAATAGCACAAAAAGAAATGTCATTTTGGACATATTTATTTTTGAGGATGTACAGGTGTAGTCCAAGTGTGCCATTCGGAGTCTCCACTTGGCGTCTCCAAATGGCACACTTGGACTACACCTGATATACAAACTTCAAATGACTGAAACTCCTCAGTGCTTCAACATACAACGAGGCTCTAATGAAAGATAATGACCGGAGGAATCCTCTGGTAGACACAACATTACTGATGGGGGAAATTACTTATAATTATATAAATGAAATGGTGTATCGGGGGTGGGGGGCGTGTTNAAATTAAATCAGCTGCTGTTCTTGAACAATTTGGAGTACATGCAAAAGCTTGGTCTCTTTATGAAGATGACAAGCTAAATTTTCTATTTTTACAGTTAAAAATACTCTAACTGCAAGTAGTTTGTAGCTATTCCATTTGTAACACAACAAAAATTGAGAAATTTTGCTTCACCCAGATATTTCATTTTTATTTCTTGTAAATACACACAGAGTGTTGAATGTATGGACTGGAAAATACAATAAATCTGTAGAATCAAGTATTCTGCTCGTGGATTTCAAGATTGATCAAAATAGCACAAAAAGAAATGGACATGTTTATTTATGAGGATGTACAGGTGTTGTCCAAGTGTGCCATTCAGAGTCGGTCTCCATTCGGCGTCTCCAAATGGCACACTTGGACAGCACCTGATTTACAAACTTCAAATGACTGTAACTCCTCAGTGCTTCAACATACAGTCATCAAAGAGGC